GGAGTACGTGTGAGCAGTACCAAAAACCGCGGAACAATAATGGAAGGTAATGGAAGCACAAAATGGCTACAATTAGCACAGTTAAACAAAAGCACATTAAAACAAACACTGGTACAGTTGGTTATAATAATAATTGTTTTTATTAAACCAGTCGTGTTCTCGTGATAAACGTGAGTCACTACAAGTTAATCATACGCCATGGACTGGCCCATGCGGCAGTGGTCTTACTTTCGCCTGTATCTACCTTAACTAATATATTTCTGTAATAACGTCCTTTGTGTTGTACAGTCTTCAAAGCATCTATAGTACCTTGTTACGTCAATGGGGGTAGTCCACGTAAGGTGCTGACCACGAGGTGTGACTTCGACGTTAGTTGGTTCGTCACACCATTCACGTCTAACTGGAGTAGGCCTCCAATCATTTCGACATAGATCATCTACGTTGGTGATCTACACTGGTGAGCAAGACTTCGAGTAACGCAACCTATCACTATAATCTTTATTATTGTATTCTATACTTATTCTTTTTCATTTGTATCATCGCCTATGTTAATCTATCACTGTGAACTTTCGTTGCTTCATGTCAATGTTGATTAGCATTTAAACCTAAATAATTCGTTCAATCGACAGAACTAACCAATCAACTACGATTATAATCGGCTATCGTGGTTCTTTAACAAGCATTAGCAGCATGTAAATGCTCCTGTGTAATATGTCTGTTAAAATATCAACCACTCGTGAGTATAGACACAAGGCAACACGAACGCATATCTTTTTGTACCTTATCCACTGGTATAAATAAGACAAGATTAACTATCGACTATAAATTCATCTTTCTGCTTAACCACTATCCACTAGAATGTTCTGCTTTTTTTACCACTGCCTGCCTAATTTCCAATTGCTGAGTTCCATGGCCAAACAGGATACGAATGCTAGAAATTCACAGTGAGTTTGAACTATAAATTTCCTGCGATCTTAGATCTCGTTTAGACTGTTCGTTAGGTAATGCTATGTATTCGGCCTAAATTAATTCTGGACTTATACCGATTCAGTCTACAATGCTGTGTTAATCGAAAAATTTAATCAACAGTACCTCGTACATAATCCAGATTCAAACTACTGTCTACTTCATATCTTCATTACTTAAAGGCAAGAGTAACCCAGGCGAGTTTCATAATTTCATTAGATTATTTCGTACTATATTTATGATGCGTGATAACATTTCGTAGTTGCTTTCACGTAAACTAGCCATATATTCTGTTACTGCCGTCAAGTTTTAGTCGAAATCATGTACATTTATGACTCGTTAGTCGACATACTGTGGTAAAACATATTGCATGTACACGAGCACGCTTAGTCCATGTCCCAAGTACACACGTTGTCGTACTTAATATGTCACTTAACGCTAGGTAATAAGCTCTTTGTATCAGCCTTTTACGAAATGGCCACGTTACCTGGACCCTCTAAACCTTAGTTACATTGGTGGTTACCATTTTAATTAATGTTTATTATACCCCTTGTATTTGCTATTAATTCACACGGTAAATCATGGCTCGATTTCCTTATTACACGACAGTCATTTTAATTCTATTTTCGGTTTATTTACATGCCATATGGGTTTGGAAAATATCTAAACGTCCTCGAAAATTCTCTACGAACCCAACCATAGTTTTCGTATATGTTTTTATTCACACATCCAACAGTTACGCTAATAATACCTAAACGAACGTTCAGTGCAACTGTCAGTATACGTAAGAACGATGTTATTTAGACTTGACATTGTAACACATCTGAACTATTGTAGTTATTCTACTTCGATGTCGTACTTTATTTTATGAAGTATTGTTTCCTCGTGTCTGCTATTTAACAGATGATTTCGGTACATCAATCGGCTGTTCAACTACTCGACGATTTACAACCTGTCCAGTTCAATTGGTGGTCTGACGACAATATCATTCGCGCGAATCATCAGTTTACTCAGTCGAGCGAATCTCCTGCAAACTGAAAACGATATTGTCGCCTCTATCCCAACACTGACAGCGTTTTTCACGGGTATCATTGACATGAGTCCAGAGTGACACTCTTGGTTTCTTATGTTCTTTTCGATATTTTTCTGTTCACTAACCGAACAAACACGCAGCATTCACCGTTTATCATCTTTTAGGGACTTCATCGTGCCACCTTTGCTATCGATTTGTAGCCTTCAACCCTTACTGATTGTAGCAGCAGTCATCGACTTTTCAAACTGTGACTACAAGTTGGTCAATAGATTCGCACAACGAAATCACGACCACTCTTCACTGTTATACTTCTGTACTTACGGTTAGTCTGTTAGATATAGATATAACTAGAATTCGACACTTATTAATAGCTGTCAACGACACTGTCGGACTTACAACTTTAAACTAATGACAGTACAAATATGGACATCGATTGATAATACACTTATCCTACTATCGCTATAGCATCATTACTCTTGCGGCAGACTTAACGTTTGTCATCGGAGGAACTGAATTACTTGTCAAAGCTATATATTTCAGCGCGACTTGATAGATCAATAAAACGTTTTGTTCTTTTCATTATTTCTATGGTTGATCAATTTACGTTTAAGCAACGTCCTACTAACATATTATGACTCGCTGTTTCCCGACCAGTTTTTTCCGCCTCCTTTCCATTTCTTTTATAGATAATCAATACCTGGAGGATTTAAAGTATTCGTTTGACACTCTCCGGCGCGCGACTGCTCCCAACATGTTTGGTACCGATTCAAACGGCCGCTGAATCTGGTGGGGGAGTATTGTAGGGCCAGTGAAATGTCACTGAACCCTAGCCAAATCATCCGGCAGTTGGATCACTGGATGTCGAACAGATCATCGCTCCCTGCCAAGGTCATGTACAAGCAACGCGCATTAGTTAATCATACGCCATGGACTGGCCCATGCGGCAGTGGTCTTACTTTCGCCTGTATCTACCTTAACTAATATATTTCTGTAATAACGTCCTTTGTGTTGTACAGTCTTCAAAGCATCTATAGTACCTTGTTACGTCAATGGGGGTAGTCCACGTAAGGTGCTGACCACGAGGTGTGACTTCGACGTTAGTTGGTTCGTCACACCATTCACGTCTAACTGGAGTAGGCCTCCAATCATTTCGACATAGATCATCTACGTTGGTGATCTACAGGCGAAAAAATCCCAGGTATTGCACACTTATTAAACATTAAGATGCGGGTGCATTACGACTTCATGAACACGTGTCATATCTCGCCAAATGGTATTTCTGGACTATAAAACATGATAGGTTTTAACGAATTGTTCAGCCTTAATCATTAGCCCTAACCTCAAATCCTCGCTAAAATTTATAGCTCAATTACGAACTGGTAGAAGTGAAAAAACGCGAACGCCCATGACGACTTTTTAGATAACCGAGGGAAAATAAAACACTGTAAAACGATTTATGATAAAAAGAAGTAATAAAATTCTATGTGGGCGGCCTGCTTGAGCATCTGGGCTACCTGTTCCTGTCATCCTAATATTTCAACAAGTTATCTATTTTTGTTTGTTTTAATATATCATTATGTATATTAATCGCATAACCCATCCTTGTGCATTTCTGAAAAGTTCACAACCTTTCGTTGTCAAAGTTACTAAAAGCTCAATAAGAGATAATGTGGTCGCTGGCAATATCCAGAGAAAAGAATATACATTATTCAGATGTTTATTTACTGCACTGCTAACATCTAACTGGCTATCACTCAATATTTATCGTCAGGATCGACCCAGAAGAAAGAAACGGAAACTTGTTCAAATACTTTGTGCTGAGAATTCTATATTGTACCGAAAATATAATACTGAATAAAGCTTATAATAATAAAATAAAAATAAAATATAACTAACTTACTAATTAACGGGTTTTACGTAAAAACTGAACATCTGTAAATGGACACGGCCCTAGACGGAGGAGCTTTGTCAAGCATCTACCAGTGGCTGTGAGCTTTAGTTCTCTCTGGTACACCAAACAATAAGCAGGGAGTCTAATTCTTGTGTCAGTGCTATATGCGTATTTTCACATATTGTAATATCGCTTTTGTGTTCTGGAATATTTTTCGCATGTTTACCTATTTCATTTTTACTGACATAACCTGAGGGATTAAAGCTCTCATGCTCTCTGTCTCCAAACTTTTGTCAGTCTGGCCTGACAATATCGAAACCTGTTTATCCTGTGCATAGTCTGACTTCTTAGAACACAGCGTAACCGACACTCTTGTTCAGTCCTTCATCGTAGTGGAAGCAACACTGCACGAGCTAAACGGGTACATTACACGTACTTTGTTTACTAACGATGCTTCTGAGCCTTTCTATTCTTAAAAATTGCCGTCTCTGAACATGGTTGGGTCTCCAAGTGTTGGATCAACTTTTTCACAACATCTAGCGGCGACATAGCTCGGCGACAGCAATAATGATATCAACTGTCGCCGGTGGACGTTATTTACCTACTTATGCTAGCTACCCGTGAAGCATAAGGGCCAATACGTTGAGGCCAGTGACTCTGTCCTAAGCCCTCCTCTCCAGTGGTCGTAAAATGCTGTAGCGGCAAGTAAATCCCCAAAATAAATAGCCCTAAGTTTTCGACATTGGATGCTGACCATATGTTTTAGTGGACTCATCTAGCTGAAGGCGCTCGGTCATGCATCCGCACCAGATCACGTGTGGTAACGCCGTGCTCAACATCAACCGCAATCGCTAGCCAGATTAGATCAGAGAATTCCGATATATTGGTCATTGCCAAATATACTCTTCCGATCTCCTCGACTCTGTCTTTTGATTTCTCTGGGTGGGAACGAAATATATTAGGTGTTACTGGTAGAAGCGTTGTCAAACACTGAATACCTGTGACATCATCATTGGTGAAACCGACGTGATCTGGTGCACCTAATTGCAACTGTGAGTCTGTTTCTTTTTGGGATTTTTACATATCATTGCCTTATTTTTTTATTTTTTTAAATATTGTGATTTTTTTCGTAATTTTTCTTGGATATATATATATTTTTCCCCTCGTTCATTATCGTACTTCATACTTCATCATGACTGAACAGACACCCAAAGTACCCAAGCTTAAGACTTTGTCCCCGCCTTCGTTTCAACTGATGCCTTTCTGGCCCGACAACATCGAAGCCTGGTTTTGCTACGCAGAAGCCGACTTCCACGAGCACGGCGTGATCGACACACGTGCACAATTCCTCGCAGTAGTCAAGGCACCACCGCGCGAATTCAACAGGTACGTAACACCTAATATGTTTACTAGTGATGTTTCCGATCCTTACGAAATCTTAAAACGCTCGATTCTTAAACGAGGAGATCTAACTGATCGACAAAGGTTAGATCAACTCTTCAACAATATCGACCTGCAACACGGTTCTGCGACGGACATGTTGCAACGGATGAGAGAGGTTATAGGCCCAAGAACTTTCGACGAAGGTCTATTCAAACAACTCTTCTTGTCAAAACTTCCACAACAGGTGCAGGCAGTTCTGGTCTCGTTCCAGAACAACGCCTTAGACGAGCTAGCTGCATCTGCCGACCGCATTTTAGAAATTACGAAATCTACTACCGAGGTATTTTCAGTCAAAGAAAAACCTCAAACGACTCAGAATGATATAACCGACTTATGTCACACACTCACGCGTTATCTTAGTCTTCGTACCGACCGTAAGAGATCGTGCACACCACGTAGAAGCATTTCTCGTAAGCGATCTGTCTCTAGACCACGAGAGACAGATAACCCCGACTGGTGCTGGTATCATAACCAGTATGGAAAGCTTTCCAGAAATTGCAGGAAACCCTGCAATTTTCCCAACACGAAACCGACTGATTCAAAAAACAATTCGGGAAACTTCCGAGCCGGCACGCGTTAACGGCAATCGTAGCCGGCGAACAAAGCCGTCTGTTATTCGTCACAGATGTGACAACGAGAGTTCGCTACCTCGTCGACACTGACGCAGAAGTTAGCATTCTCCCAGCAAATCCTAACGACCGACTTCACGAATCGACCCTAAACTTACAGGCGGCAAACGGAAAACCGATCGCTACGTATGGCAAAAGGTACGTTTACCTTAACGTGGGTTTACGCAAACCCATCCACTGGATTTTCGTTGTTGCAGATGTTTCTATGCCAATCATTGGTATGGACCTTCTACAACACCATAATCTGATCATCGATACGCGCAAACGGAGGCTAGTAGACGGAAACACTCATTTGTCCGTTTACGTAACTTCTTTTACTGGTTGTAGAGTATCCCCAGTCACAGTTAAACATATGATAGACCCACTCTATCAACCACTACTCGATAAGTACCCTGGGATACAACAAACTCAACCGAAACTACCGTGTGTAACCAGCAACGTTACACATCACATCACGACTACAGGACCACCTGTATTCTCTAAAGCACGACGACTAGCTCCTGAAAAGCTAAGGTTAGCGAAAAACGAATCCGATCACATGATGGACTTAGGACTCATACGACCGTCAAGTAGCCCATATGCATCTCCGTTGCACATGGTCCCTAAAAAGGACAGCAACGATTGGCGTCCAACTGGTGACTATCGGCGATTGAACGCGAAAACCATTCCCGATCATTACCCGTTGCCTCACATTCACGATCTGACAGCTACTTTGAAAGGTACAACTGTCTTTTCGAAAATCGACTTGGTTAAAGCGTATAACCAAATCCCTATGGCTACTGACGACATACCGAAAACAGCTATCATAACTCCTTTCGGACTCTATGAATTTTTGCGAATGCCTTTCGGTCTAAGGAATGCTGCTCAAACATTCCAAAGATTCATAGACGACGTTTTTCGAGGTCTCAACTTCGTACACGCGTATGTTGATGACTGTCTAATCGCAAGTCCGGACAGAGAATCACATCTCAAGCATCTGGATCTTGTTTTCGAACGACTGCAAAAACATGGCATTACTGTAAACGTTCAGAAATGCCAATGCGGAACCGACTCGTTAGACTTCCTAGGACACACTCTCGATGCTCAAGGCATTCGACCTCTTAGGACCAAAGTGGCGGCCATTCTGGATTACCCAGAACCGACCACCGTCAAGCAATTACGCACGTTTAACGGCCTCGTAAGTTTCTATAGACGTTTCATACCGAAATGCGCATTACTCATGGAACCTCTAACCGACCAACTTCGTGGAAATGCGAAATCCATTAATTTGGACGACACCGCACGAAAAGCATTCTCCACAGTTAAGGAACTGATTGCTAAAGCAACAATGCTCGCACATCAGGACACCGAAGCACCCATTAGTATCGCAGTAGACGCATCCGACTCGGCAATCGGAGGAGTCTTACAACAATGGGTTAACAACTCCTGGCAACCCTTGGCATTTTTCTCTAGACGGTTGCTGGACACCGAATCGAGGTACAGCACATTCGGTAGGGAACTCCTAGCTATGTATTGTGCTGTAAGACATTTTCAACACTACATCGAAGGCCGTGAATTCACTCTTTTCACGGACCATAAACCGCTCACTTTCTCGTTAAGCTCTCCTTCTGACAAGTACTCTCCCCGTGAGCCTCGACAACTGGACTACATTTCGCAGTTTACTTCAGACATTCAACACATCTCTGGAGCAAACAATGTAGTTGCAGACGCTTTATCTCGCATAACTTCCTTGAACAGTTTCCAAGGAATCGACCTTCTAAAACTCGCCGAGCTTCAAAAAGAAGACAGTGATCTTCAGCACGAGTTATCGTCCACAACACTTAAACTACGCATCAAACAGATGGGAACAGGTAAGGAAACCTTACTTTGTGACACATCTACAGGTAGGGATCGCCCAATCGTGCCGAAACATTATCGACGCAATGTCTTCAACACATTGCACAAACTTTCGCATCCAGGTGTTCGTGCAATCATCAAGCTTATAGCAGAACGGTTTTGCTGGCCTGGAATGAATAAAGACGTGAGGGAGTGGGCACGCTCCTGTGCGAGCTGCCAAAAATCTAAGGTTATCAGACACAATAAATGTCCCTTAGGCTCGTTTAAAACTCTCGATGCTCGTTTCGACCATGTTCGTCTGGATTTGGTAGGACCTTTACCAGATTCAAATGGATACTCTTATCTCTTAACCCGCGTAGACCGTTTCACTCGATGGCCAGAAGCAGTACCTATCAAGGACATCACTGCTGAAACAGTGGCCCGCACCTTCGTCGAACGATGGGTAGCAAACTTCGGTTGCCCTTCAACCATCACTACAGATCGCGGACGTCAGTTTGAATCTGATCTTTTCCGTCCCCTGACCACACTATTAGGAAGCACTCGCTTCCGAACGACCGCCTACCATCCACAAGCAAACGGGTTGGTAGAACGTTTTCACCGACAACTATTCATTAAAGGCAAACAAGTATACGAAGATCCCAAACTTATCACAGAATTATTCAGTGAACATTTTTGTTTCTCACTAACTAACGAAAAACCATTTAATGATTCAGAACCAATCCCAGTAACTCCCTGTGAAATTACTAATGTAGAATTCAGTGTACAAAATATCTCCAAAGCAATCAGTACATTGAAACACTCCTACACTGATGGACCAGATGGTATTCCATCTAGCATGCTAAAACGCGGAGGTGATGATATGTGTGTTTTGCTTCTCAAACTATTCGCGATATCACTCTCTTCAGCGTGTTACCCTACTGCCTGGAAAACTACACATATCATTCCCAAAATTAAAACAGGACCTGAAGCAAACGTTGAAAATTACCGGCCTATAAACATAACTTCAGTGGTATCCAGAGTGATGGAAAAAGTAGTTAAGGCGGCTGTAGTCCAACATCTATTAACTAACAATCTCTTGTCGACCTCCCAGCATGGATTTCTTAGGTCCAGATCATGCGATACATGCCTAGTAGACTACCTGAATGATATAACTCTGAAACGAGACAGCGGACTCCTTGTATCAGTCCTATTCCTAGACTTTAAGAAAGCCTTTGATAAGGTCCCACACAAAAGGCTACTCGTCAAACTAAAGTCCTTCGGAATACACAACCCACTGTACTCATGGTTTGCTTCGTTCTTAACAGAACGTAAACAGATGGTAAAGTACAATGACTGTCTCTCGTCCCCTAGACCAATCACTAGTGGAGTCATCCAGGGAAGCGTATTAGGGCCACTTTTGTTTCTTATGTATATAAACGATATATGTAACACCATAGAATTTGGGAAACCGTACTTATATGCTGATGATCTCAAAATAGTATACAGCTATAAGCCTGAGACACTAAGCGAAAGTGTATCCCAGATCCAAAAGGACCTCAATAACTTAACTATATGGAGTGAAAAATGGCAATTACCATTTAACCTCAACAAGTGCGGGATCATGCACTTTGAAAAGCATCCCTATAAACCGCGACTTCACTTAAATGAATGTATAGTCCAAACACTCGAATCAGTACACGATTTAGGAATTAATTACACAGGAAGCCTAAACTTTGAAGAACATGCCTCCTCTATTATTTCTAAATCTAGACGGCTAATTGGTTTTATAATGAAAAACTTTTTCACAACAGAGAGTAAACTTACTCTCTACAAAATATGTGTACGACCCACCCTTGAATACTGCTCTTTTGTCTTCTCTAATATGAATATCGCAGACAAGATAAGAGTAGAAGATGTTCAAAGACGTTTCACACGTCAACTACTAGGATGTAACTCGAATCTCGATTACACAGACAGATGTAAGCATCTATCTTTAGAACCTTTATGGCATCGTAGGCTAAAACACAATTTAATATTTCTCTACAAAGCGATATATGGGCTCTCCTTTTTAACCTCCTGCCCGACTATCACCCACGACCCAGCCTATAGACTTAGAAACAATGCATATACACTACTTACCGTAAAACACCAAAAGCAAATGCTTTGTAAGTTCTTTACAGTACGGTACAGTTTATTGTGGAACAGGCTGCCAATGCCTATCCGTAACTGTGATACGTTTACCAGATTCATAAAGCTAATAACCCTATTTCTAGACTCCAAAGAGCTTCAACATTACCTTGAACTCCCGCCCACCGATGAGGCACTTTATTACGGACCGCCTAGTATCTAGAAAGAACAGAATTATAACAAGTTCGACTGTTACTAATCTAAATATAACCAAATCACAGGATATATGGCTTATCCTTTCCTATTATTCATTGTTTATTAATCATGATTTCATGCTCCTAACCCTAGCTTTCAGTCCCCAAATCTCTACAGGTTAAATGTGCATTATTCTTCCTAAAAGTCATGCTTTTTTTTCTACTGCAAGTAGACAGATAGCTCAATCTTATGGTTGCTGATCTACTAAGGCCGATCATTCAAAGCTCAAAATTTGGCCACAAAGTCTTGTGAGTTTCTCAATGTTTTATTTTTCTCACCCTAAAGTCTTTTTCTTTTTTTTTTTCTACAATTTTATACCCTCTCATATCTTTTGGTTTACTATTAATCCTTACTTCTTTAAACCATTAGTTATTTTCATAGCAGTGTGATATACTATATGGACATCTAACCCATAAAGCAGAATTTTTAAATATCTGATTTGCTTGTAACATGGACCTAGTAGAGACAGTGTATTCCAACTATGTGCTTTGATTAAAGCATTAATCATACTTACCACAAACGTAAGAGAGCCTAACATCACAAAAGGAGGGAGGGTGGCGTTACTGACCAGCAAACATGAAGGTGGGGAGATAACTTCAATCCACCCATGTCTGTAGGGCAGAACATTTTGTTTAATTACGGCTCCTTATGGTTTAGTGGGATGTCACGGACTTAAGGTATTGAAGCTGATTTATCACGAAAAATACCTCTTTAAATCGTGTTACGAACGTTGAATTGGTTTCACTTCATACTCAGAAATCCTATTACAAGCAAACTAGACAATTCGCTAATATACGAAGCCTACTCAAGACCCTATAAAACCTGAAAAAAAAGAAATAAAAAAAAACGAAAGGGGCTCTAATAGCTTCGATAATAAAAGGGAGATAGCCAGTTGTATATCACAATACTGTTTCTAGCACTATATTTTATTTTATAATCACACATAATCTTATACTCTCAGCTCTTTTCCGAATCGCCTCCATTTGTCAGTTGTATGTCCACTCACACCTTGCTAAAGCTTATTTTCTTTAACCTATTAAAATGCTCTTTCTTAACAAATACCTTAATAAAAGAAAATTAGACTGAGTAATCATACCTTAAACATTCCTACATGAATATTGGCTACTCTGCCTCTCGTGTTTTCTTTTACTTGCTCCCTCTTTCAGCCCCCTTGAGATATGGAACAGGTTACTTCATCCTGCACCATCCTTAAAGCCTTGGATATCCCAAAGGGACATAAGTTTGCGATTTCTAGAAGCTCATACCATCAATGGATCTATTCTTGACCATCAGTCGCACATTCGCAACGCAACTCTCGTGAAGCGCGCCAACTATAATACTGATTAAAACTATCTACATTCATGTCTTATAAATTTTCAACCCAGCTATGTAATTTAATACAGTGTATATTGTATCATTTGTATCAATTTGATCTTGCCTGTAAACTGGCATGCCTCATGTAACAAACTGTTATTTGAGAATATATTATTATTATTATTATTAAAAGCTTCACTATCAGCTGCAAACGTTTCACAGTGGACTGACGCTCTTCCACTCGTCTTACTAGGTATCCGCAATGCAGTGAAAGCTGACATTGGATACACTGCAGCTCAACTCGTTTATGGAACGACACTTCGACTTCCAGGAGAATTCGTGGATCCTTCATCCTCTTCAATGAACATGGATCTAACCTCTTACATGAACAGGCTTACAAACGCAATGCGTTCAGTTAAACCTGCTTTCACTCGACCTCAATCAACTGATGTTTTCGTTCAACCTGACTTACGATATAGTACACACGTTTTCGTTCGTCGAGACTCGCATCGACGCCCATTCGAATCAGCATACGAAGGGCCCTTCAAAGTTCTTCAACGCGAACCGAAGTACTATATAGTCGATAAGAACGGAACAAACGATAGCATCAGCATCGATCGCCTCAAAGCAGCATACTTAGAAGGAAATCCTATCTACGTCGATTTTCCTTCGTTACAATCGAACGACGCGACTCCACTCGTAATTCCTCAACTGACAACCAATACTAGCGATGATACTCCGCATGTATCTGAAAATAAACCTAAAACGACGCGTTCTGGAAGAAGAGTAAGATTTCCAGAACATTTAGACGACTACTGCACGTAAATCACTAATCGACATTTCATATTATCTCCATCTTTCTTTTTACGATATATAATTTTTTTAAAAAAGAATTTTAATATGTTTATATATTTATATTTTTTACTAAAAAAACAAACAAAAAAAACATTTTTTTAACGCTATTATGTGTGCTTGAGTATATTTTCCATTTGTTCGCCGACATTGTGTTTTTACGCACATGCGAGTGTATTTCGACATGCACTTACACTTTTTTTTTCTTTTCCAGGACGGCTGGAAAAGAACGATGCAGTTTACGAGGAATCGAAATTTTTCGTTGTAACTTTTTCTTTTTTTACTATGTTGTACCTCGGTCCCATATAGTAAGGAAAGACGACCAGACGCTGCTACACTTAGTAAGCTATCAGAAGAGTGTTTATCAACGACAAACTCGTTGGGTTTAAACTTCTGGCTGGCCACGTCTTGGGGTCGTCACTGCCTCACTAGGGGGGGAGTGATCTGTAGCGGTAAATAAATCCCCAAAATAAATAGCCCTAAATTTTCGACATTGGATCCTGACCATATGTTCTAGTGGACTCATCTAGCTGAAGGCGCTCGGTCATGCATCCGCACCAGATCACGTGTGGTAACGCCGTGCTCAACATCAACCGCAATCGCTAGCCAGATTAGATCAGAGAATTCCGATATATTGGTCATTGCCAAATATACTCTTCCGATCTCCTCGACTCTGTCTTTTGATTTCTCTGGGTGGGAACGAAATATATTAGGTGTTACTGGTAGAAGCGTTGTCAAACACTGAATACCTGTGGCATCATCAATGCCATTATTGTTTTTGGTTTCTGACTTTAGTTACAGGAGCGTCGAGTTCATACATCTCAACTTTTAGAGGGTTGGTAAATTGATTTTATTCATCTTCTCTAAACCACACTTCACTAATAGTAACGTTCAGAGGACTTCATGAGGAGTTTGGAGAAAAAAGATATTTGTTACTGTTATCTAATTTGATAAGGGAGGTATGCTGTTTCGACGACACTGGAACAGAGTTTACGTTTTTCCTGACAATGATATTAATCATCTAAAAGTTTACAGTCTGAAAATCGAAAAACGTACTACACTGTTAGTAAAAGTTTTATTTACACTGACGTTAATTTGAAAAAATCTTTCACTTGAGTTTTGTCGTTTCAGGTTTGTCAATTACGATAAACAGCATAAACCTGATACAACGCCATGACTAACTCATTAGTTCGAGCAAACTAAGGTTAGTAGTTGCAAATAATGAGTCGTCCATTTATGGAGTTTCATCTTCTAGTTGTATGTTATGCCCGGTCACAATTATGCATGTGTGAGGTCCGCGCTGTCAATTGACAATCGATAAGTATCTCCAACTGTACATGGGAATGAGGATAATCCGAATATCAAAAAGCCTTTGGGCATGCACTTCACACGCGGTCTTTCAAAAAGAATATACTGCTGACTGCCTGATAGAAAATTCGGCGAGACACTAACTTAAGGGCGAGCCAATAAGAAGCGTTTGAGCAATTTCAACGTCACGGAGCCAAGTTCAACACGTGATGCTAACATACGATTGGTTTACAGCGGATTTTAGGGAAGAGGTGATTACTGATAGGCTACAACAGATGAGACTATTAAGAAGTTCTTGTACGTGTGACTGCGGTTATCAAATGACTGCAGCAATGTGTGCAGACCATCGTGGTAAGATTATGTTTCGTTGTTCTTCATGTTGGAGGAAAAAGTCTGCTCGAACGGGGACTTTCTTCGCTTGATCGCGACTGACACTAGGGCAGATCATGGAAACAGTGGCAAATTAGGTAATAAAGACACCAGTAACACTTGCTGCGGCGTTTGCAGATGTTACTGAAACTTCAGCAGTCCAGTGGTATGAGTACTGCCGTGACATATGTGCAAGTAAAATGACACGCCTACGCCAATCATTCGGAGGAGTAGGATGCATTGTGGAGATAGATGAAACGGTAGTATGAGAGCGAAAATACAATAGGGGACGTAGTATCAAGGAAGAATGGGTAAGCAGCATTTCCATAAATATGATTGACAGGTACTTGGAATTTATGACCGATCAACGCAAAAGGGACGTTTTCAGAGGGTCAGAAACCGGCAAGCTAGCACAATGTTACTAATTATACAGGAATACGTGCAGCCGGGCACAACAGTATATACGGATGATTGGCGAGCTTATAGGTGCCTACATAGACCTGGATATGTGAATCATGTAGTAGTGTACAAGCGCCATTTCGTCGACCCTACAACCGGAGTCCATACTCATAATATTGAAGCTATGCGGTCCAGACTGAAGGAATTTTTAAGACCACACCACGGCTCTAGAGGACGACTGTTATGGAGCCATATGGACGAGTTTCTATACCGTAGGCATTATGATTTCAGGACTTCTGAACCTTTATCCAACCTTAACAAGTTTTTAAATCATGTAAAAGAAAACTATCCACTGTAATTCATTACTTTCTTATAATATATTTTTACTCTATATCAACTGTCCTGATTGGCTTATAATTGTCAAGGTCATTTAAGATTCGTTCAAAGGTCGTCCCTAAATAAGAGTCTCGCCGAAAATTCCATTCGTAGCATCACGACCTTGTTTTTCAGCAATCCTGAAAATATAGGATTATTTTAAAGACTCAAGGACATCAGATCAGGACCGTCTCCATAGATTTTCGCCGGCATATCCTCGACAATCAACCCAGAGTCATCCTGTTATGGATGCATAGGAATGTACCAATCATTATCATGTTAAGTCTAATGATGTCCTTGGACTTTAAATGGACATTCCCTATTGACCATTATTTATTTCACTCGTTAAATATTGTACAGATGTTGTTTTCTATTTTTATGGTACGATGTGGTCTGTTTGGTTGGTATATAAATAGAGTATGTCTGAAATACAATGATTCATATCTCAGAGGCTGTGACTTGTGTTCTGGACTCAACTGGCTGGGTTAGACAGCGAAGCAGGACCAATCAGAACTCTAGGTCGTCCGTACTTGTTTTACGTGTCACTGATCCGGTCGATAAATACGCTGCCCCATAATCTGCAATCCACCCATTACAACACCTCCAAAACCAATAAAAATCACACATTTTACGCTGACGGATCATACTTAATTATGCACCCTTAATTAGATCGTTAACAAATCTACTTATGAGAATGTGAAGTCATCAAACTGAGCGACATTACAAAGAAAGTATTACGTAAAGTCAGGTCGACCATACTAGCACACTAAAACAGCCAATAATGTGACCGTAGATACATCCGACTCAGCAAACGTAAATGCCTGATAAAAATGGGCAAACAACATTTCGCAATCTTCGACGGTTGGGGGAAATTTGATCGAGATCTAGCTATGTATTGTGTAGTACTAACTTTTAGGCACTTTGTGGAAAACTAAGAATCCATCCTGTTCATCAATCGAAAATCTCCAGCTTTTCATGCTAAACAGCCTTCAGGAAAGCACTTTCACCAAATGTTTTGACAAATGGACATCATCTTTCAGTGTACTCCAGAGACACAACATATTTGAAGGGCAAACAATGTGGTCATATATACCGCATGAATTCCTTTGACAGTTTTCAAGAATTCGGCTTGACCACACTCGCTTACAATACACCAACCTTCAGCTCCAGTTTTTATTGGTAACCCTATAACTACAAATCAAAAAGATGGTGAGTAGTAAGTAGACTTTCTTTAGTGACACATCTACAGGTAAGGGATTTTTCATTCGGAAACATTTTCAGTTCAATTTTGTCACGTCATTGCACAAGTTTTCACACCGATGTATCCGTTCAAACATCAAGATTACAACGGAACGATTTTCTATGCCTGGTGTGAATAAAGACGCGGAGGTTTGGGTACCTGCTTGCGCCTGTTACCCCTCATGGAGAAGAGTAGGCCGCTCACCAACATTCCACATCCAACTCTGTCCTGTGCAATCATTTCCAGTTGTTTCTGGTTGCTATTCATCCTATTCATGTCTGCTTCCAAGGTGTTGTAGATCACCAACGTAGATGATCTATGTCGAAATGATTGGAGGACTACTCGAGTTAGACATGAATGGTGTGACAAACTAGCTAATGTCGAAGTCACACCTTGTGGTCAGCACCTTAGGTGGACTACCTATAGTGACTCACGTGCAATCGAGTTTAGTTCAGTCAAGGTCTTTTGTTGACCTATTTAATGG